ATGTTAACTTCAAATGAGTTTCATTGTTGTAACTTTATGATATCAACAGTATATAAATTTCCACCACCTTGTGGCTAGGTGATAATATAGCAATTTCAAAGTTTTCTTTTGGTCAGATGACTCAGTGATATGAGAAACTTCCATCTTTTTTTGTTTGGACAAAAGAAACTTCCATCGAACTGTTAGGAAATTAAATTTGCAATAATTTGTTTTACATGTTCAACCATCCAAAAAGTTCTTTTTGCCAATAATTAAAAACACCCAAATAATGAAAACTATAAAATACTTTATTTTGTAAGTTTCCCATTATTCGTTGTAAATAATATTAATTAATTGTGCGAGAGGCGAAATTGTGTGTTTATCACAAAGCTACGGCGGCTAACACATTACAACAAATGGTATTGTAATTGCTTAATAATTTCCTTAATTATCCATCCACCGTCAGATATATATGATGTGTTCATCTCTTATATGTTGACTATCAATAGGGGGAAAAAGATGAAAGATTGAGGTTATATTCCATGTTGTAACGAAATAATTAAACAAGCTCCGCGTTGATTAGATATGAGCACATATATTGAATTCAATTTCCTGAAACGTTTGGAATACGACTCGATCAAATGGATTATAATATATTAAATTATTTGTTAGACCAAATTGCATTTGTCACAAAGATATGTGATAATTTCTCTAGTTGCTATCCATCGTTTTTTCTTTTATATCCTCAACATAAAAATAAATAAATAAGAAAAGAACAGATAATTAAACCCATCATTAAATTAAGGTGAAACTTCCAAAAGGGACATTCAAATGATGATTTGATAACAGCCAGGTTTGATTGATTTGATATCGTCTTTATTTTGTTTTATTCCAGACATGGTACTTAATTTTGTAAATGAATGTCCTTGAACTTTTGCGGTATTTTTCATGAAACTTTGTTGAATAAATAATTATTTCCGTGGAGTCTGTCAATTTAATTATGCATGTCGTCAACCATCCAATAATAAGGGGCGACGTTCAATTTTTTGACTTCATATATAGTTTAAAACATACACAGTTAAATGAATTCAGATTAATAAAAAAAGTCACGTGAATACAGAAACTATGCAATATTTGGATCCAGGCTTGTAAAAAACGACAATAACAAAATAAATATTTGTTTATTGTCAAACGATGTTATTGTACAACCATAAATTTAATTAAGTAAATTGTACCATCCGTTGTTTTCAACCATGTTCCAAATTCAATTGAGGAATATTGAGATATTACATTATTCATATTTCATTAGACAAGAACTTTATTATTTAATATTTGGAATTGGATTCCGTGTTCCTGAAAAATATTTTTGAAATACGGCTTGATAGATGTTACATACACATTACTCTAAAGAACTTAAATTCATCTTCTCTTTTTTTTTTTTTTTGCTTCTTGAATGTTCAAAAAACATGAAAACATGAAATTTTTAAAACTAGTAATGGGACTTGTCATTTCACAAATAATTACTTATTAAATTATCAATGGGAACTTGTTAATGAAGTTTAATATTGAGTTATTTTTATAAATGTTTACTTTTTTATTATTAAAAATTTACATGTCAAAGTCTTATGTGAACTTGATATTTAGCTAAAATTTACTTTTAAGCTAGTAATGGGACATGTCATTTCACAAATCATTACTTGTTAAATTATTAATGAAAACTTGTTAAAAAAATTTAACATGAAGTGATTTTTATAAATGTTTACTTGTTTTTATTACCAAAATTTTACATGTTAAAAAGTTTATATGAATTTGTTATTTTATTAAAATTTACTTATTAAAGTATTAGGAAAAATTTTCAAAGGTAGTAACAAGACTTATCATTTTATAAATAGTTACTTATTAAATTATTAATGGGAACTTATTTGTCAAATTATCAAGAAAGGTTTTCAAAACTAACAATATGACTTGTCGTTTCACAAATGATTATTTGTTAAATTATGAATGAGGACTTGTCATTCCTGGTAATAAAAATAAGTAAACATTTATAAAAATCAATGCATATAAATTTTTTTAACAAGTCCTATAATTTAATAAGTAGTCATTTGTAAAATGATAAGTAACCATTAAGCTCCTAATAATTGGCATAAAAAGTAAAAACAAAGTTTAAAATATAAAAATTTACATTATAAAATTGAAAGAAATTTTTAACTGATCTTGGTGGTTCAAACCTCCTTGGCCACCTTACAAAAATTTAATTTGCCTCCCTCATCACTCTAGTGGCTAGTCCGACGGGGTGATCTGGTGACCGATGATAGTGAGGAGGTTCTTTTAATGAGAGTTAGTTTTATCTTTTCACACTAAGATTTAATTATATTTTGATCTCTTTATCATGCAAAGTTAATTCAGAATCATTTAGTCCTTTTATGTAAATAAAATCCTCCAGAGGTCCTTCATTGTAATTGTCCCTCAAAAGAATCAGAGGAAGTACATGTGTACGCATAAATTTTGACAGAGGGAGGAAAAAAAAAAAAAACCCAATCTTCCTGAATTGGTTGTACACCAAAAAAAAAAAAAAGGTTGCTTCATGATTGATTAGATGGTCAGATATTTAGGACTCGTTTGTTTTCTGTTTTAAAAAATTATTTTTTATTTTTGAAAACAAAAAAATTTAAATTTTTGTTTGGATAAGTGTTTTTCATTTAGGTGCTTCCAAAATTTTCATTTTTTGTTTTTTTTAAATAGAAACAAATGTAAGTTGTTTTTATTTTATTTTTCTTATTTTAAAATATACTGCATTTGATTATTGAAAATTACCTTGACTAATTTCTATTGTTAATCACAGCCATCAACCATCACTATCAATCTATTTTTTAATTTTAAAATTGTTTTTAAATTGATACAACCAAACAGATTTTCATTTTACTTTGTTTTACAAATAATTTTGAAAACTATATTACAAAATAATTTTTAAAAAAAAAAATGAGAATAGAAATCAAACAGGCCCTTAATGATTGATTCATGCTCTACGTTTTGAAAGAAGGAAATTACAGGGAAAGTAGCTAATTAAGCAAAATTTGCTGAGAAATTAATGTTCATAATATCATGACCCCTCTTATTCCTTGTATAAGGTATTTCAAACATTTTTCACGCAGCTTAAAAAAATTGTTAGATTACTTTATTTCTTAAAAGCATTTCAATATTTCAATTATACGCTTGTTAATTAAAAGGAGCCTTATCAAATCTTGCCCAAATTACAAGAAAAATATTAAAAGTATAAGGAAGAACATAGAATACTATTTAATATTGTTGACATCTTATAATTTGGATTAACTTTTATTTTTTTTTAAAAAAACATCTTATATATAAGGGACTGGTGGAACCACCAACGTCAGATTGGGACTCAAGCACTGAAAATCTTTTTCCGTGGTGAAAATATATATGAGGCGTTAATTGCACATTAATTCTATTAATCCTGTTTTGTTAGGAATATATAATTTAATTTCGACGAACATTCTTCAAATACATGAACGCTGAATGCGTGTGACGTCACCATTCAATCATGAATAGTTCTGAAGCAATTCAAAGCCGGGCTATTTACGCTTAAAATGCAAACATGAATTATATAATTGTTATTATTAATGATTGGGAAAATTTAATTAAGCATTGCTAGCAAGGGAAAGAATTTGACAAGTTTTAGCTCTGAATAGACGAAATAAAAATATAAGGAAACCAAACTTACAAAACAATGTATATTTAAAATTGAGATTTATTCAACTTTCAACTAGAAAAACTAATTTTACAATGATGTGAGGTTTCAGTTTATTATCACAATACTCTGTACATTTGTCATGGATTCCACTTGAATATTTAAATAAAGCAGCTTAAATTTCACCTATAAATGCAATGAAGCATCTTGCGAGGTGCAATTCAATACCACAAAAACAGTAATTCAGAAATTTGATCTAAATTTCCAATAAAGAGTCAAAGATTGAGGTTGAATTTCACGTTAAACGAAATAAATTAATTCCGTGTACATTGGAGAGAATATGAAACAGAAGAAAGAAGTCACTTTGGTTAAAATAATGACGTATGTCGTATATACATGGTCAATATATGCATCAGACTAATTAATTACACTGTACATGCTCATAATCTTAATCTCATTTAATTACACGGTGAGAAGATATATGCTCAAGACCACCCACATTCATAATCTTAATCTCATTTAATCCCAACGCTCAAACCTCCCTATGATACATATGTCAAGAATTAAGCCTTTTCTTTTCCTGCTAGTTTCGTTTGGGTAAAATACATGTTAGATTTCTTATATATTTTAAGAATGCTTAGAGATATTATTATATTCTATCAAAATAGCTTAAGCCATTTGTTAGATATTTTTTAAGTTTATTCATTTGTGATCTATCTTTTAATTTTTAAATGTGAGACTTTTTTTTTTGTTCTAATATTCCTTTTCTTACTTTTTTCCTCTCTTTTTTTTTTCAGTTTTTTCTTCTTCTTGTTGGGCTCGTATTTTTTTTAAGTCTTATGAGCCTTAGGTCTATTGAATTTCTTCTCCTTCTCTCTTTTTTAATCTCTTGTATTTTTCATCTTTCATTCTTTCATTTTTTTTCTTTTGTTCCTCTTCTTTTATTGTTTTTTTTGTACCCAATCGAATAGCTCTAACACTATATTAGATTTCTTATATTAAGTATGCTTAAGGAATACAAAGCCTTTTTGATGCAATGAAAAATAGTAAGGCCAAGTGTATATGACATATGTGCGGGTGTGAAGAGTTATCAAGTTAGTTAATAAATGACTCTCTTGTGACCCTAGGATACACACTGCGTTTTCAAAGTTCAATTCCATGGCAAGTTCAGAGCGTAAATTTCCTTAACAATCACTTGGTAATTACTTGAACCAATACGCATCACCCTGCAATACCTTGAGACTAGCTTAGTATAAATTGCACGAATCTCATTCCTCCAGCTTCACAACAAACCCTACCTCGATCTCTCGTTGTCAAACCCTACCTTGAAGAAGGTGCAGCATGTCGAGTCCTTCAGGCGACACTCCTCAGACTCCAAGTCCTAATATCAAGAATCCCACACCACTCCCAACAAGCAAGGGTCTCTTTTCCTCCCGTCACCATAGTGACGTACTCGTCTCATTTCATTTATTCATTTTCTGCTTACTATATACATTTACTCCTTTCTTTTATACTTATCAATCATTTTTCATTTCATTTTGTCTTATCAACCACCTCCTCGGACACAGTCTAATAACCCTCCAACATCTACTGGGACTACAATTATTACCACTCGGGGTACCTTTTCCACGAGTCGTTGATCATGATTCATTCCATATCTTTATCAGGTTATTATTTGATCTTTTTACTTACTTTAATCTAATTCACCTCTTTCATCTTTAAACTCTTAATACCGGCCCATGCTCCACCTGTGTTTAATTTGTTATCATCATCAAGCTATTTAAACTCCTCAACTTTCAACCGATTTAGCAAATTAATGCTCGCTTATATTCTGTAATTTCTGTCCCTTCTTATTTCTCTTTAATTTGTGTTATTATTATACTGCTCATCCTATTCTATATTGTTTTTGATACAGATTGTGATGAACCTCGGTGCCCTTGGTATTGGAATAAAGGAAGAATTAAATAAAACTTAGTTGTTCATTTTCTTTGTTCGTTTTGTTGGGTCCATATATCTAGGACAAATGTATTCTGGTCTGTTAGTTTACCAAAAATAATATCAGTAGATTTGTTCAATTTCCTTGTTTGGTTTTATGTCTAGGTTTTGTAAGTCCGTATCCATGTGTATTTTAAATACACATATATGTAATTAATGTTGATATATGGGCTCGGACTCGTTTCAGTTGATTTTAAAAAGCATGCAGATCAATTGCACCTACAATTTATAAATTTAATGACGCATCCAGCGCGAGACATGATTCAGTAATTTTTTTCCCCCTTAGACTTTTGATATAGATAGAATATTGGAGAATGGCAGGATAAACAATAAAGAGAGAAAGAAAAAGAAAAGTTGATCAAATCAATTTAAAATATGATAAGAATGTTTTGCATTAATATTCTAACGTTTCACCCTTCAATTTTTTTTTTAAATCATCATTATCATCATGCCAAAAAAAATCACTTAAAGTTGTTGGGGAAATAAGATTGAGTCTGTAAATTTGCTCTATCCAAGCTTAATTAATTCAATTAAAGTTACGTTGGAGAGCGTTTCAAAAATATGTTACGATGGGGAAAAATCTCTATAAAATTTAGAAAGAAAATGAGAGAGGTGCCAAAAAAAATTACCAAACAAAAAACAGAAAAAAAAAATGAAGATCACACACACCCACTGCAAAGTTTCTACGTAAATGATCACCCGCAGGTTACTTGCAACGTAAGATATGTAATGTGCTTATCTCTTGCATGGTGACTATTTGAATGCTAAAAGATTAAAAAAATGGAAATAAAATCAGCCCAGTAAATCAATGCAAAAATTCCATCACCTAGTCGGTGACATGATAATATCGTTTTTTTTTTTTGTTTCAGTCCTTCTGAAAATTAAAGAGAATTCTATGAAATGACATGCTTTGTACTATTCATATATATTTTTGGCCGAAAGGAAATAAAAAAAACAGAGGTCAATGGTACGGGAATTTACGACAAACTGTTAGGAAATCTCCAATAATTAATTTGTTTTATTCAACTACCCAAAAAGTTTTTTCCTTCTTTGCCGATAAAAATAAAAACCACCCAACAAGTGGAAAATTCTACAGTATTTAAAAATATACAAGTCAATAAAATAATAGCAGTATTTAAATTTATCCAATCATCATATTCATACGTGTGTTGGTATATATTGCACTTTGATGGAGTTAAAAAAAAAATTCATCTCCATATTCCGAATCAATCGATATTGATGCCAATATACATTAAATATGTAATCAATAACAGTTAATTACGAAATTCATATAATTCACCAACAAATTGCTTGTTTCTTATTCTACATGATAGGAAGAGGGCCTATTAGTTGACCTTTAGGTGAAGGACAATAAAGAATTCATCACTGCTTTACGACGACATGGCCAATCTATCCCTTTCCGCGGAAATTACATTAATTAGGACTGTGATTTAATGAGTGATCTAAATCTAGATACCCAATAATATTTCATGATGTGGCACGACTATAATTTTCAAATTAATCAAAACACAATCAGACATTTTATCATATAATTAATATTCAAAAAGCACAAAATCCAAAATTTTTAAAAGGGACAATGTATGTAAGAGGTGTTCTGATTATCATGATTGCTTTGAATTCTTGAAGATAATTTTAAAATTGATGAAATTCAATGGCTGTAATTAAGATATGTCCACTTAATTAATTGAGAGTGATTTTAAATCACTCATTTAATCCAATTAATTAGAGAAAACTCACTGCATTTTCCGAGTTTCTCACCTTCATAAATCGTAATGTTATTATAACAAACTGCTATATATATATATGGACACACAGGTGTGTATAACATTATTTGTATGTAAATTTCCTTATTAAATGAAAGAGAGCGAGAGAAAAGCATTATAACAATGAGAAACAAATTAATAATACTCTATTAATTAATTAGATATCTAACGCTCGATTTAATTTCACGTATGTAGGTTTAAATTTGAAGTGGTTGGTGTTGGTATGGTACGCGGTGAACAAGACTAAACACACATTAACCATTATTTAACCTTCTGTCCCACGTGCATTAATGTGGCCTTTTAATTCCATTCGGCCTTCCATCTTTTGGTTTCCAAGCCCAATTAATTAATTCTACCACACGCTACTACTTCAAACTTTCCCAAAACTTTCTCTCTAGATTTCTTTGAATGTCCAATATCATCATACTTTGTACCCTTTCTATAAATACCTCTCTTCTTCACCAACAAGCTTCAAACCAATCCTGTCATCTACCTCTCATCATTTCATCAGTTTTTCTCTGTAACTTTGATTGTTCCTTCTTGTTAGACAGAAAGCAACACCATGAATTCTAAAAGCATCAACACCCAGAAGCTTTTTTTTGGGCCATCACCTCAGACTCAGGTGGCCTCTCATAATATTAATAATGCTACTCCAATCCCAACTCCTCAGAAGCTTCTTTCCCACTCTAATAATATTGTTAGGAATGGGGAATGACCGCTTGTAAGAACTCCTACTCCAATCTGAACCCCCCCAACAAGATCTTTTCCAAGAAAACATGTTCTCTCACAGGCTCATTATTAATATTACTTATTCTCCTTCTATATATTTGTAAGACATTTTAACCGAATTACATGTATCATCATGTGTTAATTAATTGTTTTAAAAGTTATATATTAGGGCATCTCAATTAAAAAAATCTTATTTACTACACTATTGAAATTAAGACTTAAAATGTCTTAAATTTTTTTAACATGCATCTTACATAAAAAATGTCTTATATTTTTTAACAGATAAAATATATACATCTGAAGGTAATAATATATATGGATTAAATGCTTTCTTTTGGACATTGGATCTGAGGTTCTTTAAGTATTCAATACTAGTAATAGACTCCTTCCATCCCTATATATAAGATGTTTTTAACCGAATTACACAAACTAATAAAAGTTGATTATCTAATTAAAAACACAACAACATTCAATTTTGCCCCTAATTATTGTAAATAAAAAATGAATCTCTTTTTCAAAAGTAAATTAATGAGAGTATTTATCTTTTTTATTTTCAATTTAATAAGGATATAATGGTCTATTCATTAAAAAAATATACAAATAACATCTTATATTTAATGATAAAAAAAGGTTTTAAAAAATATCTTATATATAGAGATGGTAGGAGTATAATACTCCCTCCATTCCAAATTATACAGCACTTTTGAATGAGCTTCTCTATCTCAAAATATAAGACATTTTGAGTAGATTAAGGTTTTATTAAATGCATCAATTCTAATATTTTTTTGTTTCTCTATAATTAATTTTCCTTCCTTCTCTTTTCAATATATTAAATGATGGGCATTTTTAAAAGTTTATATTTTTGTTTTGAAAAGATAAGGTTGTTAAGTGTATTTGATGTGGTTTATTGATATTTAAAATTTTGTCTAAAAGTATTTTATAATTTGAGATGGAAGGAGTACATGTTACCTGCTGAGCAATAATTAAAAGCTTTCGCATTTTGGCTTTATTTTTAGTATCGAAGAATTTTATCGTAACAAAGAAACGGCACAGAACATTTGTTTAATGTTTCTCTGTTCCATTTTATTAAATAATCTTAAATCTTGTTACCCTAAATCCATACGACAAATGTTCAAACTCGTTAATATAATTAGTCTATTAACCTGTATGTACCGTGGGTAATATTCATCTTATTCTTCTTTCAATATTCTGTTGATTCCCAATTTCATGTTGATGTTTCATTTTCACGTAGATTGTGGTGAAGTCCCAGAGATATTGGATATTGAAGTTAGAATGCTCGATACACACACACACACACACACACACACACACACACACACACACATATATATATAGAAGAATCCACACATTATACATTCATAAATACATATAGGAAATAATATTCTAGAAGAGATATGAAACAATATATGACTTGCGTCTAGGTTTGATTTGATTGCTTAATTTCTTGTCCTTAATTTTCTCCCGTTAATGTAAAGATGAGGAGAAACACATTATTTATAATGTAAGAATTGTGCAATTTAATTATATAAATATATATACAAATTATTCATTGCAAAGGAGGAAGCTTTCTAAATCCATTTAATTATTGTGAACCCTATGTTAGCTTTTTCAAATGAGCTTCATTGTTGTAAATTTATGATATCAGCAGGATATAAACGTCCACCACCTTGTAGCTAGGTGATAATATACCAATTTCAAAGTTTTCTTTTGGTCAGTTGACTCAGTGATATGAGAAACTTCCATCTTTTTTTTTTTTGGACGAAAGAAACTTCCATCAAACTGTTAGGAAATTAAATTTGCAATAATTTGTTTTACATATTCAACCATCCAAAAAGTTCTTTTTGCCAATAATTAAAAACACTCAAAAAAATGAAAACTATAAAATACTTTATTTTGTCAGTTTCCCATTATTCATTATAAATAATATTAATTAATTATGCGAGAGACGAAATTGTGTGTTTATCACAAAGCTACAGCGTCTAACACATTACAACAAATGGTGTTGTAATTACTTAATAATTTCCTTAATTATCCATCCACCGTCAGATATATATAATGTGTTCGTCTCTTATATGTTGACTATCACTATGGGGGGGGGGAGGATGAAAGATTAGATATGAGCACATATATTTAATTCAATTTCCTGAAACGTTTGGAATACGATACGATCAAATTGATTATAATATATTAAATTATTTGTTAGACCAAATTGCATTTGTCACAAAGATATGTGATAATTTCTCTAGTTACTATCCATCGTTTTCTCTTTTATATCCTCAACATAAAAATAAATAAATAAGAAAAGAACAGAGAATTAAACCCATTAAATTAAGGTGAAAATTCCAAAAAGGACATTCAAATGATGATTTGATATCGTCTTTATTTTGTTTTATTCCAGACATGGCACTTAATTTTGTAAATGAATTTTGCGGTATTTTTCATGAAACATTGTTGAATAAATAATTATTTCCGTGGAGTCTGTCAATTTAATTATGCATGTCGTCAACCATCCAATAATA